GTTCATGGGATCAAGTCCTGACCCCACTTCAAATTCTAGCTTCCTGCTAATGCATATCCTGGAAAGCAGCTGGTCCTGGCTCCAGTGATTGGGTTCCTGCCGCTCGCATGAGAGAACTCTGACTGCATTCTTGCTTCCAAGCATTCTGGGATTGATCCAGCAGATGAGTACTTTCTCTTTCTTTCTGCCTCCCATAAACAAACAAATAAGTAGGAGTTACAAAATGTCTCTATAAAGGCTCAAATTCAAATATTTGGATAAAAATGAGCATGATCCTGGGGCAAGACAATAGGAAGTAGCAAGGACTGAACACTGTTTGACCTTCCTAAAGGCGTTTTTGTTTAAGCTGTTTTGAAACCCAGCCAAAGTGAAATATAAATGAAGGCCGATTACTGCAGGTTGTGGACCCTGTGGTTTCTCATCTTCTATCTCCCCTCTGGCCTCTGGCTAAGGTGAAAAACCTCCTGACCTGAACTTAAGCAGCTGTACATTTCATCTATCATTCAACTGAAGTCATACAAAATACCATTTGAAAACAATATTCGATAGGGGGAAAAGAAGTTTAAATTATGACACTGTAATGTGTGAACTTCCAAGATTTTCTCATAAGATTGTCAGATAAATACCACACTTTACAATTTCTAAATTGACAATGATATGTCCACTTGCATCCTTTCATAGGACACATTTAAAATGCTAATGAGAAGAGATACCACTTTGATATGTATGATCAAATATATAGGTACTTCTCATTAGGATTTTTAATGTGTCCTATTCTTTTTAGTAATTTCTTTTTCTACTTAATACCGTTGCTTGAACTCTTTAATTAACACAGAATTATTCTTAGGTGTTTAAATCCAATTGAAAATTGATCCCTGTTAAAAATAAGAGTGAGAATAAGCGAGGGAGGAGATGTACAATTTGGCACATGCTCCGTCGGACTTACTCCTAAGGGTAAAGCTAAAAACTTGCCATGGGACTCCAAACCCATTAAGTTGGCAGGTACCAATACCACCTTCCTAGTTAAAGTGATCAGTTTAAGTTCATAACTGATCATAAAGATAGGATTGTCAAAGGGATCAAATAAACAAAACCAGTGTATGCGAATACTACCTGATGGAATTATAAAGGAGAGAACAATCCAACATGGGATGCGGGTTACACAGCAGACTCATAGAATGACAAATGCCCTAAACAATACCCTGGCCTCAGAATCTGCCCTGAAGGCATTCAGACCTGGCTAAAAAGCCCATGAGAGTAATTCAGGCATGGAAAGCCAAGACACTGTGGCAAAAATGATCTAAATGAAAGATCTCTGTGAGTGAGATCCCAGTGGAAAGAAGGGGCCATCAAAGAAGGAGGTACCTTTCTCTGAAGGGAGGAGAGAACTTCCACTTTGATTATGGCCTTGTCTAAACAAGATCGGAGTTCATGAACTCAAGAGGCTTCCATAGCCTTGGCAGCCCATGACAAGAGCCTCGGGTTATTACTGACGCCATAAACAAGAGTGTCAATTGTTAAATCAACAACGGGTGTCATTGTGCACTTGCTCCCCATGTAGGACCCCTGTCCTTAATGTGCTGTACTATGAGAATTAATGGTAAAACTTGTCTTCAAACAGTACTTTATACTTTGTGTATCTGTTTGGATGCAAACGGTTGGAATCTTTACTCAGTATAGAGTTGATTTTCCATAAAGATAATTAAAAATGAATCTTAATGAAGAATGGGATGGGAGAAGGAGTAGGAGATGGGATGGTTTGGGGGTGGGAGGGTGGTTATGGGGGGAAGAACCACTATAATCCAAAAATTGTACTTTCAAAATTTATATTTATTAAATAAAAGATTTTTATAAAAAAGAACCCACTGACAATTTTTTCTCCCTATAATGTAATCTAAAACTTAGGTGTGTTCTAGTCTTTAGAGGTGCTTTCATGGCTCTCCTGCTCCTTACCCTCTGACCAGACGCCCAGAACATCTGAAGAGTTATGGGATCTACTGTTAAGGATGCAATGGCAAACCTTAAATCCGGTTTCTCCTTAGGTCTTGATGTACCGGAAAAAAAATGCATGTCTCTAGAATTGGACATTTCATTCTCAATTGCATCAATTATTTAAAAGTGTCATTTATATACAAACCCTGCAGCTACTTGAGTACAGCTGGAACTTAATTTAATCCATTTACTCATTTGTTCAATTAACATTCACTGAAATCTGAAAAGCCTGCCTTTTTTGCAGGTGTTCTGAAGTGGTAGGGGAATTGGGAACATTCAAATGATCTCAGCAAGCGTGGACAATATATGCAACAAAGCATTGGATAACGGGTAATTCAAATTTGCCACTGCCACCTGTAGTAATTCAATATTCAACAAGACTGTTGAGGTTTGCAAAGTATAAAAAGTACATATTATAAAGAACACAGGTTTTGCTATCAGAAAAGCACCTATTGGAAGATCAAGTGACTGCTTACGACACTAAAATCCCATATCAGAGCGTCAGTTCAAGTTCCTTGATCCAGGTCGTTGCTAATGTGCCTGGAAAGTAGCAGAAGATGGCCCAAGTTCTTGCACCCCTATCACTCACATGGGAGACCTGGATGAAGCTCCTGGCTTCAACTGTGGCCCTGCTGTTGCAGGAATTTGGAAAGTGAACTAGAGGGCAGAAGATCTCTGTGTCTCCCTCTCTCATCACTCTGCCTTTCAAATAAATAAATCTTTTAAAAATGCACCTATTGTAAATTACATAAATGTATGTATATATATACATACATACACATATACACACACACATATATATATATTCGCTTACTCTAGCTTACTTCAGCATTTGAGAGTTAAGATATATGGGGGTAGATGAGTATACACATAAATTGGAATCTTTTCACTTGCTTATGATTTTCCCTTCATAATCATATAGAGGAAATTTGTTATCTCCCTTTGCTTCAATTTTCTAACCATCTGGTGTGGTGGAGATGAACTACTTTATGAGATTTTTGTGAAGAATAGGATAAAGTATGTAAAATAGCTGCCATAATGCCTGGCATGGAGCCACTGTTCAATAACGCTTGATAAAGGGATGATGATGAGGATGATGATGATGATGGTGACGACAACAAGGCTACCTTCTCTTGCATTTCTTTTATGTCAATGTGTAAAATAAAACATTAGTGATGGAGGCAGCAAAGGAATAGGATGTCAACTATTCAATGACATCGAAATAGGGGCAGGCATTGTGGCATAGCTGATGGGGCTGCAACCTGCAAAGCTGCATGCCATATGGGCATTGGCTTGAGTCTTAGCTGTTCCACTACTGATTCAGCTCCTGCTAATGTCCTTAGAAAGCAGCTGAAAATGGCCCAGGTCCTTGGGCCCCTGCACCCATGTGGGAGACTTGGGAGAAACTCCTGGATCTTGGCTTTGGACCAGCCCAGCTCCAGCCATTGTGGCCATCTGGAGAGTGAACCAGAGGATGGAAGATCTCTCTCTCTGTGTTTCCTCTCTCTCTCTGTAAACTCTGCCTTTCAAATAAATACTCTTTAAAGAAAAAAAAAAAAAAAACAACAAAATATCATATCAAGTTCTCTTCAAAAGACACTGCTACGTGGAACAGACTTTAGGGGTATTTTGATTGCATAGAGATGGGATATATTTATAGGAGGGTGTTGATTACAGCAACTTTTGGAAGCCCTGCAGTGTGCTGCAGAACTGTAATTCTTCTCAGGCAAGGAGAGACCTTAGCGGAGTGAAAAGGATGACACAGATACACAGCATAGATAAATACCCACTCCCCATATCTATTATTAGTATTATCATTTAATGTATCGTTGGTAAGTATGTTAATTGCTTTGATTGTGTACTTTCTGTGGACAAGGCACTGCTCTCAATATTTTCTGTGCATCATTGAGATTAATCCCTATACCACCCTTATGAGGAAGTGACCTCCATTTTACAGATGAGACAATAGGGCTTGGAGAAATTCAATACATTTCCTGTTTTTACTCAGCTAGCAACTTGAAGAGCTAATATGCGAACCCGGTTAACCCTGTTCAACGTCTTCATCGTGAGAGTTGAAGTGTCTTGTCTGAAAGAGAGGGGAAGACAACTCTTGAGCAGGAATGCATGGGGGAATCAGCATAGACACGGCAGAGCCCTGAAGAGAACGGGTTCTGGGGCAGAGACTGTGCAGGTCTGGGGCAGAGACTGAGCAGATCCGTGTCTCCCAGATACACAGGAAACAACGAACTAGTTCTCCGCTGTGTGTCCTTGAGGAACACAGAGGGGAAGCCCTGGCCGGACTTGTTTTCTCCCTTCCTGGTCCTCCTTGACACGCACAGCTGGCTCTGTCTACATCTCCAACTCCCTCTTCACCAGACTGACTTTCACACTCACCACCAGCCTATCTGAAGACACCTGTGTGTATGCTGGGCCCTGTCCTCATACAGGCGTTCACACAGGGGCTTTGCACATGCTGTCTCTGCCTATGATTCTCCTTCATCCCTATCACCAGGGAACTTCTACTCCTTCTGATCTCACCCTAGGTCTCCCGTCCTCAGAGTAGCATCTCCAGTTTCCATGATTAGGCCAAACACCCTGATTTCTGGTTCAGAGCACCCGTGTGACTCCCCTTTGTGGCAATTATCAAAACATGCACTCATGCACTCAGTCATATGTTATTTGATTCCTTTCTCTTCTGCTAGTTTCTAATGTCTCTCATGAGAAAATACTTTTTTTTTTTATTATTGCATCTCCTGTCCCTAGAATATCTAATGCATTGGTGTTCAACAAATATTTGTTGACTGATTAATATCAGTTAGCTGCTCTCTAATAGTGCCTGGAGTGCTCTGCTGAATCAGGCAGTTCTTTCACAGTTCCTTCTCTGCACCTTCCAAAAAGAAGTTGTTTTTTTTTTTTTTTTTTTTTTTTTGACAGGCAGAGTTAGAGAGAGACAGAGAGAAAGGTCTTCCTTTTTCCATTGGTTCACCCCCCGCAAGTGGCCGCTACGGCCGGTGCATTGCCGATCCGAAGGCAGAAGCCAGGTGCTTCTGCTGGTCTCCCACAGGGTACAGGGCCCAAGCACTTGGGCCATCCTCCTCTGCACTCCCGGGCCACAGCAGAGAGCTGGCCTGGAAGAGGGGCAACTGGGACAGAATCCGGCGCCCCGACCGGGACTAGAACCTGGGGTGCTGGGCACCGCAGGCAGAGGATTAGCCAAGTGAGCTGTGGCGCCGGCCCCCAAAAGGAACTTTTAGGATTCTGTTTTATTTCAAAGCTTACAAATCACATATGTAAAAATAATGGTTAAATTTTATGTTTTGTTTAACCTGTGCTGGGCAACAAAGTATGTACATTAATTCATGTAATATTCATTAATGATCCTGTGTGACAGGTTCTATCAAATTTCCCTGAATATGAGAGACATGGACTGTACGACACACAATTATTTTGCTAGTTGAACTCAGAAATGCCACCTCTGCTTCTCAAATGGGAATTTATAATGAATGGTAATGAGAGGTTTAGCAACTTGCCCAGGAGGACTGCAACTAAAAATAGTGGATCCAGAATGCAAACGCTGTAGAGTGGTGCTGGAGCACGGGCTGCTGGCCCTGGTGCCACCATGCCAACCAATGTGATGCTCACACGTTTGGGTTGTTTTAGCATTTCTCAAACTAGATACAGCCTCACAAGCAGATCTCAGAAATTATGTGAAGGGGAAACATGTTGCCACCCACTTGATCATCATTCGTCATTTGGCAGGAAAACAAGAAATGGCCTTTACGGTAAAATAAATTATAGCACAGTAAAAGAAACCAGGATATATTTACCAGCAGACTGTAATTGTTGTTCGGTTACAATGTCTTCCATTTTCCAAGCTGATTACTTTGGGAGAGGGAAATTTCGGGAAGTACTGAGTGAACTGTTTTCACATTCACCAGAGGGTAAGGCTAATGCTATTGGTAGTCTTTCTCATTCAACCACGTATTTGAAAATTGGCACTAGTGACACAGGCATGGAAGGAATTCTGCTTCCTATACTTTTGTAAACTGCTCAATCAGTAGGGCCAAAGTTGATTAAACTAAGGAAGAGCTTAACATTGACGCTAATAGAGAAAGTCCTGATTACATCCAGTCATTACACAGATTTTAGGGTCCCCCATTGCTCATACATACTTCCTTTCTTTGTCCTGAGGAAGACACTCAGAGTGGCCTGATCGCCCTGTTCCCTGGACTTGTGTTCCTGCAGGCAGAATAAGCTTATTTGAGTTGTTTTCTGAAACGCTGTGGTATCAAACATGTTGTTGAACTCATAAAAATTAACCCAGGACCTGAAGCAAATTCTTTAAGTTCCTATATAAGCTTCGTCACCCAACCTCCACCTTAAGGACTTACCTGGGTAGGAAATCTCTATTCTCACCATTCTTTGTGAGAGTCACTGCAGCCTTCTGTATGTAAGTTTGTCTAATAAATGCCTTGGACTGAGAACGCGGGCATTTAGTGCTTTTTTCTTGGGAATGAGCCCCTTGCACCATGGATGGGCTCAGTCCTTGGTGGTAACTTTCCTGCTGCTACTTTCCCAGTGACTCCAACTGCTCAGTCAGATGGAACACAGATGAAATTGATTCTTTTCAGATCTTTGATACGCTGTTTCCATAAAAACAGATGGTTAAAATAATAAATTGATTACACTCTGTAGAACAGGTTGAATTAAAGAATAGGGCATGAGTTCAGACCTACTGGATTCAAATTCCAAATCTGCCTATTACTGGTATGATACACTGGCGGTATGGTTATGATCTAATCACTTCCACTGGTCTTCACTTTTCTCATTGAAGAATTGGAGTAGGATAAGAATAACCACTGGTTAAGTGTTAAAAATTAACTGAAATGTGATCCCTGTTAAACATAAGAGTGGGAATAAGAGAGGGAAGAGATGTATAATTTGGGACATGCTCAAGCTGACTTGCCCCAAATGGTAGAGTTAAAAACATACCAGGGGATTCCAATTCAATCCCATCAAGGTGGCATGTACCAATGCCATCTCACTAGTCCAAGTGATCAATTTCAGTTCACAATTGATCATAATGAAAGGACTAAGAGTCAAAGGGAGCACATAAACAAGTCTAGTACCTGCTAACACTAACCGATAGAATAAATAAAGGGGAGAGTGATCCAACATGGGAAGTGAGATACTCAGCAGACTCATAGAATGGCAGATGTCCTAAATAGCACTCTGGCCTCAGAATCAGCCCAAAAGGCATTCGGATCTGGCTGAAAAGCCCATGAGAGTATTTCAGGCATGGAAAGCCAAGACACTCTGGCAAAAGATCTCTGTGAGTGAGATCCCAGTGGAAAGAACAGGTCTTCAAAGAAGGAGGTACCTTTCTCTGAAGAGAGGAGAGAACCTCCACTTTGACTATGACCTTGTCTAAACAAGATAAGAATCGGAGAACTCAGAGGGCTTCCATAGCCTTGGAAACTCATGACTGGAGCATAGGGAGACTACTGATGCCATAGACAGGAGTGTCAATTGGTAAAGTCAACAACAGGAGTCACTGTGCACTTACTCCTCATGTAGGATCTCTGTCCTTAATGTGCTGTGTATTGAGATTTAATGCTATAACGAGTACTCAAACAATATATTTCACTTTGTGTTTCTATGGGGGTGCAAACTGTTGAAATCTTTACTTAATGTATACTAAACTGATCCTCTGTAAATTAAAAGAGAAAAAGAAAATAAAGAGATGAAATTATCAACTCCCAACTTGACTCTCACTGGGATTAAACATGACAATAGGCCTGATCTGATTTAATCATCATTTAAAAAATCATCTATTATTTTTCACTTTATGTTTCTGTGTGGGAGCAAACTGTTGAAATCCTTACTTAATGTATACTAAGCTGATCTTCTGTATATTAAGATAATCGAAAATGAATCTTGATGTGAATGGAAGGGGAGAGGGAGTGGGAAAGGGGAGGGTAGTGGGTGGGAGGGACGGTATGGGGGGGAAGCCATTGTAATGCATAAATCGTACTTGGGAAATTTATATTCGTTAAATAAAAGTTAAAAAAAAAAAAAGAATAACCACTGGATCACAATAAAGGGCCGACACAATAGCCCTACCAACATCCTTGGCATGATTCTGGCTGCTTAATGAATGCCCAATATATATTATTTGTATTTATCATTCACCATCTATTAGAAAATATATTGTTATGCTTTTAAACAGTTGATTATCCTCTGTATGATGGAATCCCTGGTCATTAAATCCCTCTTATACAATCATTTTCTGACGGTTGACAATTATTACTGTCAGTTCCTTTGTTTCAGGCTCCCTAGTCTGACAATATGTCTTTCGATTTTACCCAGGCATTTTTTTTTTTATCTCATATAGAATTTGTGCAACCGATGTGCCTTAATCCCTTCTCTTCTTTTGAATATCCCATCAGTCCAGTATTTCACTAAATATTTCATAACTGTGCTTGCATTAGAGAACTTTGTCTTCTAGCAGATAGCAATACTGTCCCTATCTGTAAATTAATGCCTTCACACCTTAGCCTGACACTGAGACCCTCTGTCTCTAACCTACTATTTTTCTGAGCTCTGGGCCTATCCATGTCTTCCAGTACACTTTGTTCCAGCCACATAGCCCCCATGTGACACGCTCATTGCTAGCCCTGTGCCTTGGTTCATACTTATCCCAGACTGTTATCCTTTTCAAACCTCCTAAATCATAACTACTCTCCTATTATAACCTCTACAAATTCACATATTCTCCTATTGGAAATTCTAGAAACTCAGATTCCTTTCCTGAACCTGGAGGAAAGCTTTCATGACCCACAATTTAATTGCTGTGATGCTATTTGCTTTAATTAACCTGATGAGTCTGTCATGATTCCAAAACACGCATGCTTCTCCCTATCACACATGTCTGCTTATAACAGTCTGTCAAGAAAAAGGCTTGACTGCTCAATAAACAAGTGATCAATAAGCACCCAATGGCCTTTCCTTGTCAGTGACTTTCATTTGCCCAGAGTAGGGTGATCGTTTCAGAAAGTGGCAGGAAGAATTAAAAATTTTATTTTTTAATCTTTTAATTGAGAATAGTTTTAAATTTCCAAAACAAAAATTGTGAAGTTATACAGAGTTCCCACATCTACCCTGCACTCAGCTTCTCCTAGTGTTAATGTCTTTTATTTGACTACTTGTCACACTCTAGAAACTACACCCTCCTTCCCATATTATTAACCTCATATTAAAATTAGAAATTTTCAAATTCTTTCTCTAAATAATGTCAGGAAAACTAGTTACTTTCTGCGAGTTTTGGCATCACCAAAGATCTGAGAATTCATAGAGGGCTGAGATCACAGAACACCTGGGTTCTGCATTCATTCATTTGAAATAAATTTATTCACAAAAGTTTTCATCGTTACCAAAAGTATCAGTTGAGCTCTTCCTCTGTGGAGATACTTACTGGAGATACAAAAGGGAGCATGATGTGGTAATTGCTCTAAGCATTCTAGAACAGCGTATGGCTAAAGAGCTCAAACATGTTCTGGCTTTGGGACATGATGCAGTATTAGGGTCTTCCAAACTCAGCACTCAGTGCCATATGCCTCAGAGTGACTGTCAGGTAATGGATTAACCCAGTGTGGAGGGTTCCATAAGTGTCCTTACTGGAAGGATGGAGATGTTGCAGCACCCAGCGCTGGATCCCCAGCACTGTCACAGGGGCTTCCTTTGGAGTAGCACGAAAAGAAGCTGAAATAATAAAAATTCAGTTAGCCTACAGTGGACCACCACTCAGTATGCTGTTTAGGTCTGTATTCAGGAGGACAGCCCACTTTTTCCACCTGAGTTTGGCTTGAGTGGTGCTCTATCCACCGGAAGATATTGAAATTCTCTGATGTTGGAAAAGGAAACATGTATATAACATCCTATCACTACCAACAACTAGGAGAGGGAGTGAGAAGGCAGGAAAGTGGCAGAGGGTGCTGATTCAGCCTCTGTAAAACTCAGAGCAGCAAATCCCTGCTTCCAGGTCCTCTCCATGATCCTCAGGGACAGAGGACAATTTGTCTGAAACCTGGGAGTGATCTGCTCCACCCAAACCCCACCCCTTGCCAGCTCCCTAAGAAGGTTTCACACTTTGATTGTCGTCCTGAGAACTCCTTTCTTCCTGTGGTTTCCTATCTCCAAAGAACTCCTTCTCCTTTCCAAACTGAGGAATGCAGACAGAATAAGTCAGTTACCTGACTAGCCACGGGACAGGGTACGTGCAGTGACAGGAAGTCACATCTCAGAGTTCCTGTTCCTGGATGGAATGTTTAATGGTGCTGTCCAGGGAACGTCAGGACATTGGCTCAGCCTCCAGGCAGGAACAGACTCTTCTTGGCAAGGGTACTTTTAGTTCCGCTTGCACCCCCAGAGCGAGCCCGACAGACTGATCAAGGCAGAGACAATGTTGCTGCCAGAGCAGACGTGGAATCCTGGGATCTAGGAGAAACTGACAAAGAAAGGCAACACCACCGACACTGGCGTTTTTATCCACAAAGGGTCCAATGGTGTCGAGCAGAACTGAATGAGGGGGAGCATGATCTTTCACAGAAATTAAGCAATTCACACTACCCACTCACAGACTGCATTTTGAGAAGGGACAGAGACAGACTGAGATTTAGCGATAAGCGTTCTGAAGCAGTGAGATCCCTAAAGGAAGAAAATGGTGTGGTGTCCCAGAACAGCCACAGTAACCTTGATCCTTGAGAATCCAGACACTGATCCTATGGAATTAATAGAGAGAAAAGATTACTCAGGGTCTAGGGATGAGGAAGCCAAGACTGGTGCTTGGAATCCACCACTGTGGGGTGGGCATTTGGGGCATTTGGCCTCCCACTTCTGACGTTGGATGGGATGCTGGCATCTTAGAGCACCTGGAGTTGAGTCCCAGCTCCACTCTGGATTCCAGCTTCCTGCTAATGTGCACACTGGGAGGCAGTGGTGATGTTTAAGTACCTGGGTCCTTGCCTCCCATGTGGGAGAACTGTACTGAATTCCTGGCTACTTGATTCAGCCTGGCCAGCCCTGGCCATTGTGGGCATTTGGGAGTGAACCACTGGATGGGAGTCTCCCTTCTTGTCTTTCTCTTTCTGTCTATATGTGTCTTTCTGCCTCTCAACAAAATAAATGAATAAACTATTTTTAAAAAGAACTCATCAATATATATGCAGGAACACTGGAAGAGTCAATGGCATTATGTGACATGAGTATGTGTTCAGACTTCCTCAGAAAAGTTATTGATCATTTTCATAAATCCTTAAGCTGAAGAACAAATTTTCAACTACATAGATAATAACTATTGTCTATATCAGGGAAAAAATGTTCATTTAAATTAGGAAATTAATTTTAGCAGATACACTCCAGGTTACTTGTGTAAATGTAGTAGTATTGTAACATGTATAAAGGTAGAACGAAGGTGACAGAAATACATGATTCAATTAGTCAGCACTTCAGAAACCTCCTTTTTTGTCCCACCCAAGACAGCATAACATCAGATAGAAACACAAAATGCATAACTAATACTTTCATTTTTATTGCATTAACATACACAATTATCAGCTGAGCAAAATTTTAATGAACTACAGAATAATAGGAAAACAATCCTATGTAAATTCAAAACAAATCCAGTGTTACATATGCCAAATAATGCAACTGAAAGCATAATGAAAAAATCCATTGACTGAATTGAACACAAAAAGCATGCAGAATATCACACAAAGAATATTTGGGTTTGTATGTCAATGTCATAGAGTATTAAAGATCTCTTTATACTCCTGGATAAATAATTCATTTCATTTGATTGGTGAAATTAAGTTTAAGGATAACATGGAACCGAAAGTTCTAGTGTGTTTTTAGCCAAATTTCGTCTACAGTCAAAGCACAAAACAGCTTTACATTGGCCATTACTTCAATGGAGAGTTCACTCAGCCGCATCATGTCTCTGCATAGTAGGGTGAGATTTACAAGAAAGGGTAGCTGAAACACCGCAAATGGTGCTACAGCTAAGCTCTCAAAACACTGCTGAAATAAACATGACTGTTATCGATTAGTTACTTTTATTTCATCCTGGACTGCTTTAGTTTAAACCTGCCTTCATCCTGAATTATAATGTACATATTACTTTCAAGGATGCCACAAAATTTAAGCTGTCAAAGATGAAGTTGATGCTTATAAAGCACATAAAGTCATCTTTTGCTAAGTTAATATTAAACTAAACACAATAAAAATGGAAAGTAGGGGCATCTAGAACTCTTTCACAAAGTTTTAATTCATATTTAATAACCCAACTTGCCCCCCAAATTTTAAGTCTCAACTATTAGGTACTAAATTGGGCATAACATAGGTCCACTTCTTTTTTCAGAGACTTGTTAGTCATGGATATGAAGGAAAAACCATTAAGCTGTCCTTTAAACCTAAGTAAATTTTCTTTGGAGTGACTTTAACACTGAAGAAATATTTTCAAACCAGGTGGCACAACTTAATCCTGCAAGATAGTTGCTGAAATTATATCTATATTCCCATGGACACATCGTATACTAACACATAAGAATACAGAGTTAAAATCACAAATATTTGGTAAGCAGTGGACCACCACCTCTGTAGTATGTTTAAAGTTACTTTTACATTTTAAAATCCCAGGAAGTAGCAAAATTCTGTTTGGCTAAAGTGTGAGCTAACATCTCAGACTTGGCTCCTTTGCTTTAATAAACAGTCCAGTTCAAGTCTGATTTTAATCCTGGTCAAGGAAACACATTGGTCTATGCCAGACTCTCAGAGACTGCCATAGGGAGGTGCAGATAATCTACAAAGACGGGAAATTGACCCGACATGCCAAGGTTGGTCTGGGGCTGGCTACTCGCTGTCTGAATAGAAAAACAGGTTACCTGCAGGCTTTTGAACTATTGATGTAATTATTGTAATGAGGCATTAAAATGTATTAAAAGATGCTATAGACCTTCAAGACCAAATAGCCAGAACTGAAAATAAGCACCTTTTTGAAAATGCCAAGGAAAAAAGTCTTCAGAACTAGAAACTATCTCCTTTGAGGGTCTGCTCCGCCAAATACTAAATGATTTTTGCATATGTCCTACATTGAAAATATTTGGAGGCATGATTGTTTTAAATTTGAGCCTTTTCCAAAGAGAATTTCCTTCCAAGGCCTTATTTTCCTACAGTTGAGAACGGACACCATATGACTACCACATCCATAAGAGTACAAACAATAATTCCTAGTTTTAGGCAACACCATGGCTTTACCTTAAGGACTATCAGAGAGTCATTCAACTCCCCAAGATCTGGAATGTGGAAGCCTATCCAGCAACATGAGCAAGAAGCAGAGTTATTTGACTTTAGAGAGGAGGGCACTGTGAAGTTACAGGACTGAGTTTACCTGTAATGAGGCACGTATTTGTGCACATGCGTGGCCTTCATAAAGAAGGAGATACCTTTGCCATAATACAGGTAAAATTTTAACACAGGGAAACTTTAAATGATTTTTTTTTTGACAGGCAGAGTGGACAGTGAGAGAGAGAGACAGAGAGAAAGGTCTTCCTTTGCCGTTGGTTCACCCTCCAATGGCCACCACGGCCGGCACACTGCAACCGGCATACCGCGCTGATCCGATGGCAGGAGCCAGGTACTTATCCTGGTCTCCCATGGGGTGCAGGGCCCAAGCACTTGGGCCATCCTCCACTGCACTCTCTGGCCACAGCAGAGAGCTGGACTGGAAGAGGGGCAACCGGGACAGAATCCAGCGTCCCGACCGGGACTAGAACCCAGTGTGCCGGCGCCGCAAGGCGGAGGATTAGCCTAGTGAGCCGCGGCGCCGGCCCTTTTAAATGATTTTAAGAACCCTTAGCCAATACTCTTTTGGAATCCATGACTTCAAATACAAAGGCAAGCATTCACAGTTAAAGAGGAAGGATATAGTGCCAACGAATGGTTTTTACTAACCAGTGCTGAAGACAGGCTGAAACAGGCATTTGTATGGAATCTTTCTACCCCAATGTAATAAAAGAAATTGGCTGAGTTGCCCCTTATTTTAGATCATGTGGATAAAACATTTACTCCCCTTATGCCCGATACTTCATATTCAGTTATCAAAGGTAATGTAATGGTAATTACAATGGGCCCTTTGTTTCATCCCCACTGTAGAAACAATTGTTTTGGTTGCTGACTTTGCGACTAATCAGACTTATGTTTAACTTAACTGGTAAATAATGTTTAGTTGAGAATCCCAGAAACTAGCCTTGAGAAAGCCAGATTAAAATTCCACAATGATCTGGCTCTAGTCATTGTGATCAGAGAATTGGATTCATGGCTGCAAGCTGCCTGTTATCACCTGAGTGGAGGCCAACATGCATCTGGTCCTTTTGTTTTTCCCCCTTGCTCCTGACCTCCTTTTCAGCTCCCTTCCAAAGCTTTCCTGCTACCTTGAAAATTTAGGATGGTGTTTGTGACAGGAAGATGTACCATCTCCTCGGGTTGCTTCTTGAATAAACCTGATTTCCTTCCATCAACTGTCATCTCTAAAGTATTGGCATTCAAGGCTGGAGCAGGTACGGTCTTGCTATAACAGTGAGAATATTAAGCTAATTAATTATCTGCCTATTATTATCTTCTTTGAATTACGGAGAATATGGCAAAATTATATATGTTTTGCTTAAGTTATATTCTCTCAAAGAAATGCAGCCAACATTTGAAATATCTATTTCATTATCAACTGACAAATTTGATCCCATTTTCCAAGAAGATTGTATAGTGTGGAAATAAATTTGTTTTTAAAGCAGTTAGACTTTGAGCAAGATTCTTAAGTTCTTTAAATCTTACGTTTCTTTTAACTATGGAATGGAGCTATCCTGTAGGTTATTGAGAGGGTTAAATAATAGCTAGCATTCAACACAGAGCCGACTCATGACAATTACCCATAACAATGCCTATGTTCAACCTCAGAGCTAATACAAATAATTACATGTTCATGTATTTAACAATTGGCTAGGCTTTTTGAGAATAATTTCACCCAAACTTGCAAACAACATTACTAACTCCGCCACATTTGTGTAATTCATTCACCCAACACGACTTATCAAGCCACCGAGACAAGTGTCCCCTCCTCCTGGTGATGAGGACGCCTGGCTTCATAGAACCACACACACTCCCCGCCTCCTTCTGGGAAAGTCACCTTCTGCAGCCACTCCTCATACTACCCCTGCCACCTCTGGCACTTCCTTATCCAGATCCCTTTAGAACTGCTCAGCATTTACTCCTTTTCTTCTCCAACATGCCAAGCTCATGCAGAAAGTCAATCCACTTATTGTGTTTCCCACCAATCAGTGGGGACAGTTGGATGCCTTACTGCAACCTGAAGCCATGATTCAAGCACCACATTCCAGGATACACACAAGGGTCTGTGCCTGCAGGCAGGATTCTGATCAGCTTGGGCTCCATTGGGAGACACATCTCTCACTTACTGTGAATTCTCCCTCTCAAACTGTTCATAAAGGAAACTATTCATGTGTAAAATCAGTAAAGTTTTAAACTACTGCTTGTTTTGTTTGCTGGAGAATATATTCTTGTTTATGTAAATTATTTAAAATTTAAAATGATATTTAAAAATTTAATATTCTCTCTATCTGGCCAGCATAGTGTTAATCATTTTGAGAAAGCTATCTTCAGTTATAGATACATAGTTTTAATAGCTTCCATGCTCCTTTTTTTTCCTAATTAGGCTCAAAGGCCAAAATGGAAACTCATAAATTATTATGTAAGTAGACACTTTTGTCATTAGTCTTGGCTTATTTATTTGGTGGTAGCCTTGAAAATACTAGAACTAAACATATCATAACTTTATGGAAAGAGAATCAATAAAAAAAGAAAGAGTTTTCATCTGAATGAATATTGTTCCTGTGTGTGATATGTAACCGTGAACAATAAATTCTCAGGTTACATAAATTTTCCAGTTTACCCAAAAGCAACTGTTAAAATATGGGAGCTATTTCTTTTCAACTGGATGCCCCTAAACTATCCAATAAATGAAACAAATATTTCTGATTTCACAAAAAGGAAAACATATAATTGCTTCCTAAATATACAGTAGACAGTCTGTCCTGGCAAAAATACAGGCTGACAAATGTAGTGCAGATTTAATTCACATTGAAATTCTGGTGCCTGCTATGCCTACCTAGAGAATTACTGCAATAATATGGAAACAGGCTGGGTATTCCACGACGAGTTCACCAGAAAATGGTCGATATCACCATGAAAGTCTCAGATTCCATTCTACTCACTCTGTCACTGTATAAAAATCTGTATCCATGGGAACCACAATTCCTGGGATGGAAATGTACACTTGACACCAGAAAGAATAAGAATGTTCTTGGGAGTAGAAATGCAAAAAGAATAATAATTCTGCAAATTGAAATTCAAAATTTAACTAAAATCTTATAGAATATATTAATGTATAGACATCATATGCTTAAGGAGAGAAAAGACGGGAGATTATTGGTGCAGGGAGTAAGAGGACAGGGCATTGACTGGGGTGACTGCCTGGGTAGAGCAGGCCTGATTGCCCTTTCTGGTGGAAAACTGTTAGAATACTTAACAGGATGCCTAGCCAAGAGGTAGGAGAGTTAAGACCACTCTGAAACTGTTTAGAAAGCCATTGAAAACACATTCCCCATTGTCACACACTAGCCTTTCCAGCCACTCATTACCGAATCTGATGAACATTAATTACTGCATATGACAGTCCAAACTGCACACTTAATTGTGTATTCACAATTTTATCTTATTACAGCATGACTTGAATCAGATCTCCTCTGAAGCTAAGTGTGTCAAGAATGCCAGACTGCAAGAATAGACCTCCTACTGTGGCTATTGGAGCCCTTGTCCCCTGTACCAAAAGAATTTTAGGGGGAACACAAACAAGATTTTCAAAGGCTAGAAGGCATATTTCTGAAAATAAAGACAATACTCTATTTCATGATATAGTCATAGTTTGCACTCATAATACAAACAGATGGGAATAATTAGCAAACTAGAAATTTGGTGTGTTTTTTCTGACTCATTCAATAACTATTCAGAAACTCCATTAGAACCATTTTAATCAAATAATGTCCATTTGCAATAAATAAAGGAGAGATTGATATTTCTCACCTTTCATGTTTGATGACAGCCTTTTAGTTTATTTTTTCTAATTGGAAGAAAAATCTTTAGTAGATAACAATTTCATAGATATTTTCCAGGTTATCCTTCAGATTCCAGTAAAAAGTTTGGCAGTGACACTGGTGATAACCAGGGTTGGTAGTGTCTTCTCTCTCTCAAGGACTGCCTTTTTGTTAAGTTAAAATACACTGATTTCACTAAAAGAGAAAGGTGGATTCTGATTAGCAGGATCAAGCGAATGTATCAGTAGAAAAAGCAACAGTTTCTGTGATGAGACTTTCAAAGATGTATAATGTACCACCAATTATCATCCCATTAAGAAATGTCTGGCATTCATCTGCAGATAGAAAAACTAAATATAAACACACCCATTAGGGTTATGCTTATTGCTAAGATTTATTTAACCATGCTTTATGGTACAAAATTTCTTAATATCTTTGCTGTTAGTTTTTCTTATCTATAAGCATTTGTATTATCAACAGGTTTGAACTAACTCTTAAATTGCTACCTACTGCAGGAATTCACTCAGGTGAACAGATGTCTTTCTCAGCTTTAGGCATCTTGTTTTTATCGTACCTTTGATAACCTCAGCAGATTTTCTCATGGGACGTTCACCCAGTTAAAGTTTTTATTGTTTTGTTTAATTATAGTTGCTTGCCTTGAGCTAGGCTGAAAGTCTACCTATAAAGAAGAGGTCTCATTCACATCTCATTTTGAGTAAATTCATTTTTTTAGAAGGAGATGGAGGTTACTTGGTAACTGTATGATTTCAATGTATTTCTGTTATTTTGGCATCCAATACTACATTCTAAATTCAAATATGAAAAGATGATGTATGGTTAAGCAGACATTAGAGTTTCCTAAATGAGAATCAGATTTTTGTGTATGTGGCTTTGAAGCTACAACATACAGATAGTGGTCTGTGGTCCAAAAATAAAATTCAGCTTTTCTTAACTATAAATTCATTTTTCTTCCAGCCAGAAGGATGTACCATAGATACTGTACATTTAGAGCAGGAAAGGGTGGTAGCATTTCAATAAAAGAAACTCCTGTTTGTCTCAGCTGCAATGATAACTAAGAAAAACACAGTAACCTGTGTTTCTTAATTTCGTTTGTCCTGGCCTTGTCTTTCAGGGGGTGGACTCTGTCTAGATAGTTACTGTGGGTTAGTCAGTAATGCAAGAGACAGAGTTTACAGTTTTCAATGTCTGAGAGTTTTATAACAATGAACCCAAGTGATCTAGTGTTTTGAAGGATTGAAATAATTCATTATAATTAAATGAAGTTAACATTACCCCCACAGCTAATAATGATCTATCAACTAGATCCATCTTTGTTCATGTCATTTTCTACAAAACGCCCTACTCATGTTCTCAAAGTTCATAAGCTCATTTTTATGCATTATTTCATGTAGACTTGCCCTTCTAACATGAACTCTTGTTGTCCACCAAAAGTGACATGGCTTTTGAAATAACTCATCAACATCAATGGTGTACAAGCAATAAGTTACAGCTATTTTATTGCAATAAAACAGAAAAGGGAAAGGATTTTAAAATTCCCTTGAAAGGGAATCCTATGAGTGAGGAAAATGTGAAACCGCAACTTAACTCCTCTGAAGAGCTTATGAAGGTCCAACTCAAAGAAGAGACTGTGAGATAAGGAAAAGGAGACAGCAGTACACTAGACTCAGACTGTTATTAAGTTCATTACAAACTCAACGAGGGATGAGCACAGAGACCAGAGTTATAAAATGACCCCAGTGTCTTTTATTTAAAAGAGTGTAACTTAAATCTACTGCTTCATTGCCATTGACTCTGCTTTATCGTTCAATGCTACAATTCACAGAGATATATTTTACTCAGTGCCAAAAGGTTTTTCAAACTTGCTTGCCCTTTTAATTACACTTGCAAACCACGACAACTGGGTTTTTAAAGTCATGCAGAACTGCTGACACCTCCATAAGTCATTCTGAGATACAGTTTAGCATTGCATTTCTCAGTGAGTGACAATGCTTTTCTTCCATGCATGTGTTATGAAGGACATAAAACTCAAAAGTACATGACTGGTGAACACAGTAAAACACTAAAAGGCACATATGTGATATTAAAACTCCTTGTAACATTTATGCTGTCCACAAGGAATTTCACAAATAAGCTAGACTGATTTCAAAATCTGGTAAGTAGCTTGACTGCTCAAAATTCGTTCATTTATGATGGATGTTACCATAATCAGCTGGCAATGGATACAGATATCTATAGATTGAAAGTTTTTCTCTATGGCAGGAACCATGTATTTCTTCCATATTAGATGCCAGCTTAAGTCAGGAAAATAATGTTTGCAGATGAGATGGAAAAATATTTTTTTGTCTTTTGTTGCCATTGAAAACCAAATCAGTGCTTTAATACCAAATGAAAAGGATGAGTGGACTCGAACTACCTAAGATAAGCTGGACTCACTTATGTCTCCTCTGTTCATGTGGAACAGAATATAAGGCAGTTGTGATGGGAAAGGCCGAATGACACTTGAAGGCATCATTCCAAGCACACATCAACCATCAGGTGTGGGCACACAGAGATGACAATGACATAATCCCAAACATGTTGCTTACACTGGTTCAGCCCCCAATATATTACGTTATTTGTGAGTAAACTCCAAACCTTAGTGAAATTACAGTTAATCAAGTGTAAAACAGACAGTGTGGTTAGCCAGGATTTTGTAATACAGGCACTGGAGAATAGTGATTTCAGTAGGTTTGTCTTCCTCTAAATTCTCTCATGACTTGCACTGGATGGATTTTCTTCTTGGCCGAGCCTCGTCTGACAGCTGCACAAGTCTCCTCTGGCCTTTCTTTCTTAATCAAGGGTTTCTTCGCTGGAGTCTTCATTCTCCACATCACAACTGGGTGCCTAGGCCCCGCAGGACTCTGAATTCGGATGATCTTCGTTGAGGCAATGTAAGACATTTTCACTGTTTGCACTACAGCATTCATTAAATTTTTGGCTGCTTGGATCAGGGAGGTTACACTGTCCAACTGCAGGAAAAGAAAAAGAGCTATTATTTAAGAATGCAATCAGAAGTTCAAAAGGATCCAATGTTATAAAAACTGAAAAATGCTACTTTGTTTTACCCCAGAAAAGAATAAATTAATCCTCATTTTATACTCATAAATATATATAATTATCTACAACAATCTGTCATCTACTTTTGAACATTTATCAGTTTATCACATGCATTCATAGGTATCACAGTCTGTCTTCCAAGATGGTATCTTAGAAGGACACATTTCTTTCTCTTTGTTTTCAATGAAATCATACAAATTTCTCAGTACCATAATCCATACAATACTATGAAATCAGATGGTCACTGCATTCTTTGTAAAGATCTCTCTATTTTCAAGAATAATAGAAAGTGCTTCCCTGGGGGAATGTGTGGTTTAAGGTAAATGTCGTATCATGTGTGGGTGTGCATGTGTGGGTGTGCATACCCGTATCAATTCTCTTTTGTGAATAGTTCCTAAATAATTGTATCTAAAATAGTCTCCTATAAGAACAGAAATTCATTGTATTTTGCAGCATGTTAATATAGAAAGATGCAAAGCTCTACAGTAAAAGTTGAGTTTAATTTCCAGATCTGTCATTTGGTACCTTGGATATATCATTCAACCATTTTGACTTGTTTCTTCAGTTATTAAAAAGAAAATAATAAACATAAAGAAAACAGTGGATTAACTATCAAATAGTTGATTGTTCTTAAAAATAATCCTTTTTTCCCATGAGGGTGGCAAAAGTCCCTAATGACAAAGATAGACTAATGAAATCCCTAAAAGAATTACCTCCATGATTCTGTTTTTATTTTATTTTATGGATTGTTCACAAAAAGCAATCTCAGAGAAAAATAGAATGATATTCCTACAATTTTGCCAGACAGCTTAGAGCAAAGCCAAGTTGATTCATTTTTATACATCCAATACCTCTTCCATTATTTTAGTTTGGCAGATTGTCATCCACAGCCAACTCACACAGGAATATGTGCCTCCACTGTCACTCCACTCTGATGTGTGCTGTCAGGTCTGAGACTCACACACTGGCTCTGTACTAAGTAAAATCCATCAGCAGCTGCCTGGCCTGAGTATTCTACCTTTGCTGTTCAAGGAGTCTCATCGCACCTACAGAATAAATGAGCAAAGCAAAGTCGTAAGCTGGGGTTATGTGCCTGGGGCAGCGGTCTAGCTGCCTGATTCCTGGGAAGAAAATTTAATTAGTTCTATTATATGCCAAGCCTGAAAGCCTTGAAAAGGTAACACCAAAAAAGACACATAATTTGAAAAGCAATAATATCTGGCGACTACACATCTTTAAGTCTCTTTACTTACTGAAGCCAGAAATGTAAAATCTGTGCATGTGGAGGTATGTCAAATGTTTTACAAACATTAAACATGACTTGATGTAGGTCTGCATGCATTTAGGAGGACACTTAGAGCTTCTAAATCTATACACAACTTAACATTAGTCTTTCAAAGGAATAACACACTTTACTTACTAAATTATTCTACAAATCAATCACAAGTTAAAAAAATCAACTGATCAATAATTTAAAGGTTTTCATTAAAAACCTCCTGGAGTGCTGTTAGATTCCAGAGGCATTTTCCAATGCCACATTAAGGAAGAAACATGATTTTCTTAATGGTGAAATAATTGGGAATCCTTGGTAATGCCATCCCTCAAGCATGAAGATATTGGTTTATCCTGAGGGGATCACAGCACCATAAAGTCTTTCATGGAAGCAGGACGTGGGGCTTCCTGTCAGTCAGGATTTTACCAGTGACTTTGGCCTTTCCACACGAACTCTTAGATTCTTTTTTTCTTCTTTCAACTCTGTAATCTTGTCATGCATAGACTGTGTTTATCTCATGTCCCTTTGAATTTTCCACATATGTGCTACAAATACGCCAGCAGTCCCAGTAAGATACTTCGGCTTAATCCTTGCCTCACGGTGTGGAAACTGGATAGTCTTCTTTCCTCACTGAATCAGTAAACCCCTACCTGTGCTATTATGATCTTGCTGCTGACAAATCCTTTGGCTTTAGAATCCTAAATGGCTACAGTCATATCTTTTTCTCTGTGTGACTCAGAAAAACCACAGGACAAATGATTCCTCTTGAAGAGTGTGAAGACTTGATTTGCAGTAAGATTAGGGCAATTGCTGAAAGAACAGTGATACTTGGAGAGCACATTATGAGGTCTTCTGAGGTCTAAAAACTGTGTGCTCCAAGATGTATACTCAGCTTTTCTAGAAACTGCAGCACACAGAAGCGATGGACAAAAAAACAAAAACCCACCTAATGGTAGGAAATTGTGTTTCAAGTTCAAGTAGTATCTTAGGTTACTTGTAGAGGATACTATATGCAATTTAATGTCTGTAAAAATATTCTACATCCATTTATCCAGGTCCACTTCCATGGAAAAATCATTTGGGAGGCTGAGTTGTGGCACAGTGGGTTGATTTGCCATTTGCGATGCCGGCATCCCAAGCTGGGTGCTGGCTTGAATTCCAGTAGCTCTGCTTCCAATCCAGCTCCCTGCTAGTGTACCTGGGAAAGCAGCCAAAGATGTTCCAGGTATCTGGGTCCCTGCTACCCATGTGGGAGATCAGAATAGAATTCCTGGCTCCTGACTTTGGCCTGGTCCAGCTACAGTCATGGCAAATACTCGGGGAGTGAATCAGCAGATAGAAGATATTTTTGTGCCTCTCTGTCATTCTGCCTTTGAAATAAATAAATAAAACTTTTAAAAATAAAGAAAAATCATTCAAAGGAAGGACTCCATAGACTCCTCTGTGTGAAAGCAAGGACAAATTTGAGCAGAGTGGCGTCCCACTTTTGAGCCTGTGTGCAATTTATTACATGAAAATTTCTGAACTTTACAAATGTCCCTGTGCAAGACAAGACTATTAATTCATTCTAAAGATCTTGTAGAGCACAGCTATCAGATTATACTACTCAGCATCACAAAATCTCTCTTACAAATCACTTTAGTTAACTGAAAACTCTTCCAGGCAAATGTAACGTGAAATGTTTACCATACAGTAGCTCTTCTTGCTAACATCTGGTAACACTCCTCTCCAATCTGGATGAAGTGTTTTTGATCAAGGTATCAACTGGAAGCACTGTTTTTTAAGCCCCTCATATCTTCTATGGTTATAAATACATTTTTGCATGCACATAATGTAAGAAGCTTCTCTCCCATTCTTCTGGAATTAGAGACAAGATTTTAAATAACCTTTTCAAAGAGGATTCTGGCTGAAATTAAAAGCTGCTTTCCTAGATTAATATGCCAGGCACTTATATACATTATAAGTAGGAAGATAGCCATCCTGTTGAAGTTGGTGATTCCTGCACATTCTCATAGCACTAGCATGTTTTCAAACTACCTGGGCCTGAGAGCCTATTAATGTCACAATATGCTTGCTCAGTTTTATATTTACCCAGGTAAAATTTGGTGAGCTATGCCTCTTTTTTCTTTAGCAACCAGATGAATAAGTGATTATGTTCAATAAATTAATTCTTCTGCTAACTGAGTGATGTATTTCCCAATCAAAATAATGTCTATCTAGAGTTTTATTCTATGCTATCATCATATATGAATTATGATTTTATTATGTGTCTCTTCTGTGTTTGTTTTATATTATATATGGTTTTGGTGAAACCACAGTACAAATCTGATTAGTTCTAAAATGTTTTCAAATAAAGTGCTTGTTCTTCTCTGAAATATATCAACAGTATTCTGCTACAGAAAAGAAGAGGTTTAAAAACAACAAAACATATTTTCCTTTTCTTCAGAAAATGTCAAATTTTTGGCCACCTAACTATATTACACTGCTTATGCATGTGTATATATGTATTTTCTAGGTAGATAGATAGACAAACAGACACCTGGAGCTCATTACAAAATTCAATATGAAGAATCTGTGATGTAAGTCCTTGACAATTAGGTCAATTTGCAATGTCAGCTAGCATACCCTTGTCTCAACTCTATTATAGTTATTAATAGTTAAGGGGGACATTCAAAAAAGGCATGCTAGATTTTCCTTCTTTTGATTTTGTCTATTTTTCACCTACATTATGTCAAAACACTAGACTGCTTTTTATTGTACTATAATTCTGCATATTTTAGATGTAAAATCTTTATAAGAAACATACTTTCCATGAGTGTTCTAAGCCTCAGTGAACCTTGCTTCCATTGATACAGATCTCACATTCTTGCACCTGGTCTGTCACCTGAGAAAGCACTGTTTCCCAGTGCTTGTGTAAACTGCCATGCCAACTGTTTCTGCTGGGACTCCTGCAGAGAGAAAGGGATAGCATTGCCTGGAAAGATAAGTTTCCTGTCCTATAGCCATCTTTGTAAACTAGTACCAAGTGTAGCTCATGATGTTTGTGGGAGTTTCAATATTTACCTAAACTCAGGCCCCTGGTGGATAGTGCACCTGCCCAAAAGCAATACTTAAAAGGCAAATGTTTGGACTTTGCTTCCAAGGTCAGAAACTTAAGCTATAATAATTGTGAGTATCTATCGTATCCTATTGTAAATATATGACATAAAGAAACAAACGGCAACCCCATGTGATAAATACTGTTGTTATCTTCATTTTATAGATGAGAAAACAACACAACTAGAATACTTGATGATTTGTCCAGTGACCTGCTATTAATTGGTAGAGCTGGAATTTGAAGCAAAACATTCTAACTAGTGTTCTTATTCACTACATAATCTTGACTCCCCTAAAATGCTACTTTCCACATGTGACTGTTTTCAGTTATTGAATTGGCAGAAAATTGCACTAACATTAGTATAATATTTAAAAACTTAAGTTTTTCTTTTTAAAAATTTTTTATTAATATAATAAGATTTCATTTATTTCACAGATATAATTCTAAGAGATAATCACAGTTGCCTTCCTTCCAAGTTGACTGTCCAACAACCCTCCTTTTAAGTAGATTTCTCTTATTTTTATAATGGATATTGGTATCAG